TGTCTGCTTTTCAGCAGTGACAGGAGTTGTTAGTGGCAGGAATGACACCTCCTTGTATCGGGTGCAGAGAGCGAGGTTCCTGGCTAATATCTCAGCTGAAAAGCACCCGATCAGATCAATGTCACTTCTGGGGCCCCCCAAAGGCTCCCGTGACAACTGATGAGCAAGGATCCCCTTCCTCAAATTACTCCCCTTGGCTTGTCTCCCCGCCCGCGACTCCTGCACGGGTACATTTCTCAAGGCCTGCCTATTAATGGCATGGAAATGTCCTCATTACTGCAAAAGATAAGACCCAGGCGAGAGGTCTGGGAATTGATCGATTGAAGGTGGATGTTTCCACCATTTTTCTTATTTGATTCCTCGCCTTCTTTCTAAATTTCTTCGCTTCGCTCTTCTCCTCCTCCTCCTCCTCCTTCTCCTGTCTCCTTTCTTTTTTATATATACAGTTTCTTTATTTTTTCATTTTCATAACAAATAACCACATGTATACTATTACATAACCAACATTATATTACATCATGTTTTCATCAATTCGTCTTACCATCAACTCCCCAAAAACGATTATTGGCTCTTCTGCTCTCCATACGCTGTTTTTGTACCTTCTCCATCGCTTTCTTCTCCCTCTCTCCTCCCCCTTCCCTACCTCCTTTCTTCCCTCTGTCGTCCTTCTCTTCCCGACTTCCCCCTTCCTCTCTCCTTCTCCTCTCCCCTCCTTTCCACTCCTTCTTTCTCTCCTCCTCTTCCCCCCTCTCTCCTATCCCTCTCTTCTTCTCCTTTCTTAAGAGCCGAGGTGGCGCAGTGGTTAGGGTGCAGTACTGCAGGCCACTTCAGCTGACACTTATCTGCAGTTCGGCGGTTCAAATCTCACCGGCTCAAGGTTGACTCAGCCTTCCATCCTTCCGAGGTGGGTGAAAGGAGGACCCTGACTGTGGGGGCAATATGCTGACTCTGTAAACCGCTTAGAGAGGGCTGAAAGCCCTATGAAGCGGTAGATAAGTCGAACTGCTATTGCTATTGCTATTAAGACGCTTCTCGTTTTTCAACACGACCTTTCGGTGATTGTTCTTGGCATCGGAACTGGCGGAATGCACCCCTTTGTTGGCAACGGGGAGAAGGTCATGTCCAGCGATGGGATTCAACATTTGTTTTTTACTACCGGTTCCGTAGGTGTGGCTTGGTGGGCAGGCTGACTCTGCCCACTGCCAGCAGTTCGATTCTGACTGATTCAANTTGAGTCATGCCGGCCACATGACCACGGAGACATCTTCGGACAGCGCTGGCTCTTCGGCTTTGAAACGGAGATGAGCAGCACCCCCTAGAGTCAGGAACGACTAGCACATATGCGCGAGGGGAAACCTTTACCTTACTGTATTTACTATATGCCATATTTACTCTATATTTCCTATATGCTGTGTTATGCTATAATTACAATATTCTGCATTTAAGCTATATTTACTATCACCTCTATTTATACTATATTTACTGTATCTCGTATTTAAGCTGTATTTGCTGTAGTCTGTGGTTGTACTGTATTTACTATAAGTCTGTATTTATGTTACTTTCAGTATGGGGTGTTTTTTATATCCCAGTCGGATGTTACATAATGGGTTGTACTAGTTTAGACATCCAAGCTAAATTCATGCCATCTGGTTTTGGTCCTTAACCTGGATGGTTTGTAAATTATGGCTTATACTAGGATAGAATCTTACCAAAATGATGGACTTCCTCAGAATTCATACTGGCTGTGAACAGTGTTTTTCAAAGATTTGTGGACTTCAACTCCCAGAGTTCCACAGGAAGATGGATTCCAACTCCCAGAATTCTCCAACCATCAAGGAATTCTGGGAGTTGAAGTCCACGCTTCTTAAAGACGCAGAGGTTACGAAACACTGGCTTAGGGGATTGTTTGAATTTAATCTACGCTCTAAGGCTCAACCCAATGTCGGAACTTAATCTCTGGTAGATTATGATTTAGCAAATTCTGCTGAAGCCAACAAGGTCTGTATTTTTCCAATCTCTCCCTTTTAGGAGAACATCTTTACCTGTCAAGCCAAAATCTACAGCTACGTGAATCCCAGTAAAATTTCCACCTCTCGGCCCCCGCTTCAAGAGGAGAACTCCACCACACATCCCGAGACGAAAGGCCAAACCAGCAAACTTGAAACTTGCCAAAAACTGGAAGGTAAGAATACATTTCTCTCTTAGGAGTTGGCTGTGTATCCCGGCATCCTTTCTAATTTTCTGAGGGGCAAAGGGGAAAAAAAATTTAAGATCTATTCCGCTAGTTTCCTCTTTCTTTCCCTCCACCCCCCGCCCTAAATTGCAGACCGAGTACCGGTGGGTGACTCGGCCTCCAGCGTTGCAAAACCCAACAGACAGAACAGCAGCGCCACCGAATGTGAATCATCCGCGTCTCCCTCCAGCCCCAATCCCGAACCGACGGAAATTCAGAAACTCCCGCCAGCCAAATCGGACGTGGTCCCCAGCCAAAAGCAGGGCCCAAACAAGGGAAGCAAAAAGCCTACGTCCCGAAGGAAGTGAGTCCCAACTTTTAAAGGGGTGGTGAGGCTTTGGGTAACTTTAATTCTGAATTTTGGGAGCATCCGGAGGCCCAGTGGGAAAAAGCTCCAGTCCTTTCACATGGACCTGTTTGTTTGTTTTTCTCTGTCTCAGAGGCCAAGGAAAAACGCCCCCAAACCGAAAAGTAACTGACTATTACCCGGTTAGAAGAAGTTCCAGAAAGAATAAAAAAGAATTACAGGTAAGGTCTGTCTTACAGCTTCTCTCTTCCTCTTAACAAATGTGTTCCTTTTCAGGACTACTCAAGAACGAAATTGTCCCCAGTCCAACTTTGCCCGGGGTGATAAAGGAATAGAATAGAATAGAATAGAATTAGGAAAGAAGGAAGGAGAATAGGAATAGAATAGAATAGAAATATGGAATAGGATAGGATAGGATAGAATAGAAATATGGAATGGAATGGAATAGAAATATAGAATGGAATGGAATGGAATAGAAATATAGAATGGAATG